GACAAGGTAGTACTTAAGAGATAGATTGAGCAGATAGATTTTGCAGATGAGAAATAAACCCAGAGAGAAACAGTAACTTAGGGGCACACATAATAAGTGTCAGGGCAGGGCAAGGTCCATTATCAAGGTCATTTTCCTCTAAGTCTGTCCACGGACTTCTTATGCCCTGTAAAAATATGATTTTCCAGGTTTTTGTTTATTGAGGTTTTGGTTTTTTTTTTTTTTATTTGAGCTTCTATGTAAACAGAACATGGAACCACAAATATGCTTAGTTTCCTGACTATCAAGATGGCCAGTTGTGGGACACCTCAGTGGAGTGTCTTCTTGAGTCTGCTCACCTTTATCTTAGTGGCAAACCAAAGGGTGTAGTAAGTCCCACCTTCTCAGTGAGGCCCAGGGTGTTCACAATCACCCATCTAATTGTTCCTTGTTTAAATTTCAAGCGATGTAGTTAGGTAAGAGGATACCCTGGGAGTACAGGTAATAGCCTTCTTTTTTTCCTGGCTGTGGTGGAATACTTGCCAGCTTTCCCTGGGACAGAAAGAATAATCAGAAAGGAAGATAACAGGTCATTAGCCAGGGCCATGTTTTCTCTGTGGCCGAGAATTCTACCCTGCTTCTTGCATTCCTTTCAGGGAAGTGAGATTGTGGTGACTGGTTCTACCCTGAATCAATTTGACTTGGCAGTCCCACACCAGCTGTTCCCACATCCTCTGGCAGTAATCACCTGGATATTAGGCACAACAGTGTTTTATTTTTGAAGACACACTCCATTTATCTGTCCTTAAAATGACCTCTTCAAAGTTTATTGCCCCAAGTAGTTACCAAAGGTTGTCTTTATCTTCCCTTGCAGTGTGACCTAGACTATATTGTCTCTTTTGTCTTGCTTCCCTCTTTGGTTAGCAAAGCATCCTGGAAAGCGTGGGGAGAGGATATTTTTTGTTTTTTTGGGACAGGCAAGGGGGTGCACTGACCAGAAGTCCCCTAAAAACTTCAAGCAAGAGTGAACCTGTACTGGGGTAATGCATTTTCAAGAAACATTTCTTTAGTAGGAACTAGAGTTCAGCTGATTTTATCATGTTATGTCTGTCTACTTTAGATGAGAAATTTCCATGAATTGAAATGAAATATAGCAGTTGCATCTTAAATTCTCCTTTTATTTTTCCTTCAGTGGGTTTAGTATAAACTCAGCATTCACTATTTTCCCTCCATAGTTAGATACATTTCCAGGTCTTGTTTGTACTGAGTTAAAAATGCACAAATAAGTATACCTTCTTTTTTTTGTTTTTAAAGAAATCTTATTTAAGGTCACAGCATAAACTAAAAATAAATTCTGCGTCCTTCAAGAGAACAACTTGTATTCCTTGAACTTTTACAAACATAAGCAATACTTAGTAAGAATTCTGGATTTCTATAGGGATGATTTTAATATAGCTCTATAGTGTGTTATAATGTACGTATTTATTACCTGAGATGAAAGCAAAGAGGACACTTAAGAGGGTTATTACTGCAATAAGCAGCTGGGGAAGCTATAACACTGGCTGTAAAACAATAGCAACTGTGGCTATTTCACAACTATGGTGCAGAGCAGAGGAGAGACTTTAGCTTACTCGGTCCTCAGCTCTCTACCCTATCATTTCCAGTTCTGTACTTGGTACCCCCAAAAGAGATAATGTTTAGAATAGCTCCTATACTGGGGTGCCTCTCCTTCCAGTGCTCAAGGATACAATAGCACTGTGACAGACCATTAACCAAAAGCAAATGATAAGCTACAGAATTGTAAGAGAGCAATGATCACTCAGTCCAGCAGTCTTAGTGTGTTACATTAGAGAGAAGTGGAATGACACATGACTAACAGGGAGCAAAGCCCCAACCTACATCTTTGTACACTAATTTATAGTCCAATATTTTATATACTTAGTTTCTTCATTTTTCCATGCTTTTTGGAGTTCATGCAATTTGCTCACAACCAGTGGAGATACAAATATGAATAACAGATGGCCCGTGTAACCAAGGAGCCCATGGTGTTGAATGGGAGAATCATACGCACAAACATGTACAATGTAGTACACGCAGTCCTGTCACACAGGTCTGTGTGAGGGTTAGTGGTGGCAGAAATAAGGACCTAATCTACTTCTGATGGGAGGATAAGAGTCATTGAAGTCAGTCCAGACCAACTTTGTAAAGAACAGATTTCTTAGGGCCTCGCCTGGTGGCACAGCGGTTGAGCGCTGGGCTGCGAGGCTGCCCACAGCCTCTACAGCGCCGGATCATTCCCCTGCCGCCAGTGAGGGTCCCACACACACACACACAAAAAGAACAGATTTCTTAGGCTGTGCACAGAGGATGCTATGGGGTAAGACAAAGAGAAGGATATTTTCTTATTACTTAGAGGAAAGAGAGAAGAATATTTCTATCAAAGACAGCAGTGTCTAAAAGGGTATGGTGTGCTACTCTGGACATGCTCCGTAAGTCAATATTGGAAAATCCTGCATACCTTGTTTCTGACTTCATGGTTATCCAGTATTTTCTATTTCTTCATAAGCCGGAACCTGAGCTTGTGTGTGTGTGTGTGTGTGTGTGTGTGTGTGTTGCACTGTCTACCTTCACAATGTCACTCATCTGTCTCTTGATTTCAATTTCCCTGGGTATCACTGTCATCCAGGCCCTTATTTAGCTGTCTCTATACTTTTGCTATAGTTATCTAAATATTTTACCCCCTCTAATACTACCATCTAATTAGTATTTATATAATGTTAATAAGGCTTTCTTTTCATTTATTTGTCTTTTTTAGATAATGCACTAAAAACATTTTTGCATGCAAAAGGATATATTTAGTGAAATGTCATTCTGCCATCCTTGCCCCCCAGCCAGCCAGCTCCTTCTCCCTTGGCAACCAGTGTTACTAGTTTCTGTTCTATCCTTCCAGAGAGACTTTATGAATGTACAAATGAGAATTTTCATTTTCTTCCTGTTATACAGAAATAGGAGCACAGGATAAAAATCATCCTGTCCTTTGCTTGGTTTCACTTAGCAGTATAGACTGGGGGGTTTCCACATTGTCACATATGCACTTCCTCGTTCTCTGCTCGGCTGCACTGTATGCCCATGTAAGGAGGTGCATAGATTAGTCGGCCAGTTTCTGCTTGATGAAAGTTTGTGTTGTTCACAACCTTTGTCTAATGTGTGCTGACACTATGTATATCACCCACCTTTAAAAAATACTTCAACAAATACAAAGTAAAGTACTTTATTTTGGCATTCAAAATTTTCTTCAATCAGACCCCAAATAGCTGCATAATCTTACTAGGGTACATGCCCAAGTGAACTTTCTCATTTAGCCCAATGATTAAATTGAAGCTCTTTTTTTTAACAAAATAAAAGCTCTTTAATTCTGGCTTCTATACTTCCCAAATGAGCGTCTTTAACCCCCACTGATAATAGTAATTGTTTTCTAAATGGCCTTTTGCTGTTCATAGTCCCTCAACCTAAATCCCCACTTCCCAGGTTTGACTTTGGAGGTTTTGTTTGTTCTTGGTTCATCTTGACTTCTACTTTCTCTCTTTGTCTTTGTAGGTTTTCTCAATTTCTGGTAATACCTTTCACTTAGAAACCTCAGCCCTTGCTGAAACACCACTGTGTTAACATAACAGACGTGTGCACATAGGCGTGTAAATCCTGGCTTATGTTTCTTTTTAACATAAAAAGATGCCCTTTTTTTTCATCAGCAAGATTATGAGGTATGGAAGGCTCTCTTTTAGTGTTTTATATATATTTTTGCAGCTCTCAAAATTACCCAGAATAATTCCTCCCCTATAAATACTTGTTTACTTACCTATTTTCCTTAACTATTAAAAAATCTTACGTGCTGCTGTATTCTAAAGCCCTTATGGTTCCCCTCTGTCCATATGTTGGTCCTAGGATGAATAATGACCTGAATTTGCTTTTCTGATTCTTTCTTACCTTGTCAGATCTGGCTTCTCTTCTTAGGCAGATGGACCCACCCTGAGGCCCCACGTGTGCCTGACATTTCCTGTTTCCATGACAACATACCTGCCATCTATTCCAATAGGCTATGCCATTTCTGTTTTCTAAATTCTGGTTCCCTGACCTCAGTGAAACTTTTGTGCTACAAGCTTTTCTAGATTGTCTCTTCCAAGTCCCTAGTCATTATAACATCTAGGACTAATAATGATAGCTAGCTTCATGAAGAGCTTCCTGTGCACCAGACACTATATAGCTACACTATTTGCACGATCTTACTTACTCCTCAAACCTAATGGGGACACTGCCCACAGTGTATTAGTCACATTCCACTTCTTCATGATCAATATCTAAGTCATACTTGACTCTTCATTGCCACATGCCCTTGCTATCAATGTGTGGGATAAGAGGCCAATACTCTTTGATTCCAGCTGCCCAGGAGGCACATGCTGCTTGGCCTCCTCCTACGGTGTGCATGAGGTTGTACAGTCAGGTGTCACTCAGTGACAGGGATACATTCTGAAAGATGTGTTGTCAGGTGATTTTGTTGGTGAGAATGACAGAGCATGCTCTCACAAACCTAGATGCTGCAGTCTTCTACATACTCATCTCATAAAGGGATCACCAGGGTATATGTGAGCTCATTGACCCCAAATGCTGTTATGGGGCTGGTGACTTTAAATCATTTTAACCTTTTCCTAAAAAGACCACGGTTGAGAGAGAGTGCCACACACACGTATTCTGCAGAAAGGATTTTTAGATTATTCAGCTTTTGGATTTTTACGTATCTGTGCTCTTTTCCTTTTACTATTGATGATACTTTTATGCCCATTTGGCTCCTCCATAAGACTGTAAACTTCTCAGGGGCAGGATCTTATTCCACACTCGCTGAAATTTCTAGTTGCTAACAAAATTGTTAATATATATTTTTCCACATAGAATACTTCAAATAATTAGTCGGATTAATTAATTTTGTATTAACTTCTGCCTTCCTTTTTTCTTTTCTCATTTTTCAGGAAATCATTTGCCAGAAGAATACTGTGAGTATTTTACTTAACCCTTACAGAAATTTTTAAATCTTTTTCATCCACTGATCGGGTATTTTTAAATCTCCACAAATTAATTCTATAGCAGTTTTTTCCTTTTTTAGAGTTTCTGATATATCAGTATGACTACTATAGCTAAATATTACTTTATAGTAAAACTATAAAAATGGGAATTTACATTAATGCCTTCTTTCCCTATATATGTAAAATTATGTTTTGGGGAAAACAATCATACTATATCCATACTATATTCATAGTTGTGGAATTATGAATGGCACTAAAGTGATATATATGCACACAGAGACATACATGTATGTGTGTGCATGTATATCTATATATGAACACATATAGATATTTATATATAAGGTATGTTGTACATACTTACAGACACCTGCACACATATGCACACACGCATAAGTATATGTATATACATGTTTTCCTGTCTATCTGGAGAGAATGATTTAAATTTTCAGTCTGCCTTTGAGGTAACAACACAGAATTCTTATCCTCTACATAGAATTAAACAAAAAATAGGGGCCTCCCTGGTGGCACAAAGGGTTAAGTGTCAGCGCTATGTAGCTATCTGCCAAAAACTCTAGAAATCTGACTGCAAAATTGAAGCTACTAGATGGGTAGGAGAAGAGTAGAGAGCCAAGTGGGGAGGAGACACAGTGGGCTATTGTGCAGGACTATGGGTGCCTTGGTAGTGGCTGTGGTGTGGTGACATACACCTGAAGGATGTGATCTTTTTTTTTTTTTTTTTTTTTTTTTGTGGGACCCTCGCCGGTGGCCGGGGATCAAACTATTGCTATAGAGGCTGCAGGCAGCCTCGCAGCCCAGCGCTCAACTGCTGCGCCACCAGGGGAGGCCCGATATGATCTTTTATCTCTAAATCATAGAAAGTGTTATAAACCAATGCTACCAAAAAAAAAAAAAAATATATATATATATATATACACTAAATTAGAAATAAAAGTATTTCTGCAACTTAGAGTGGAAATCACATATTCCTTAAAAATCTGCACATTATTGGATTTAAGATAAGTTTAAAAGTAGAATTGGTTATTTTTCTGTAGATCAGATATTTTATAAGTTAGGCTTACGATTTCACCAGGTATAAGAGACTGATGCAACACATATAACATTGCCATTGTAAACTCTTATTCCTCACATCTCAGCAGGAAATGAACCATTATTGCTTCATGCATGGATTCAGTCTAACAGATTTCATTAAACAAGTGTTGATTGAATGTGAGCCATGTGCCACACTTTGGGTGACTCAAGGATTAATTCTGGAAGTTAAACATGGAAACAATCATATATATTTTTTATTTTATTTTATTTTTATTTTTGCATGGAAGAGCTGGGCTGTAGGCCAGAGATGTGGTGGGTGGAGTGAGAGGATTCACCAGCGACAGAGTGGGGAGTAGAATAGGTGGATTTTACTGAAATATACTGTGCTGAGGGGCCCTTCAGGCTGTGCCATATGTGATTAGCTCCCTGCGGGGGATCGAACTCAGGCCACAGTGGTGATAGTGCTGAGACTTAACCCACAGTCCACCAAGGAGGCCCCAAAACAAGCATATTAATAATTGTCCCATGAGATAACAGATGGGAAGTGTCAAAGTCTTGTTGGGGAAGGTCTGTAAACAAATAGGAAAAAAAAGAAATTAGAAATTAACATAAAGCAAGATGCTAAATAGTAGGTGATCATCATGTATCAAGTGGTCATGGAAGGTCTTTCAGGGGAGGTAGCCTTTACCTGAGACCTGAATGGCAGGAAAGAGCACAAATGTGGTTTGGACTTCTGGATGGTTCGTGCGAGGACTGAATATTGCACATTATGGACGAATCGCCCATTGATGTGAGTAAGCAGCGGTGTTTCAGGTGCTGGTTGTCCTTACCAAAAGGAGGGTATTTGGAGCATATGTTTCAATATATGTGAATGCTGAGAGCACTTTCCTCCAGTAGTTTCATTCATTTTTCCTTACATATTTATATTCACCTTCATATAGTTTTCTAATGTAAAACACATAATCAGCATGATCAAAAAAAATTTACAGTGAAGATAATTAGATTAAAACTAGATTTTTGAGCTTTGGGTTTTTATAGCCATGAAATCAAGCATGGTAAAGGAGGTGAATGTTGCTCATTTATGACCACACCTTCATGTTTTGAAATTTAAAGAGATGTGATCTCCCTCTTTTTAATATTTTAGAATTAATACCTTGTTAGTAAACAGCAGTTGCATCTGAGGTGCTGTTGGTCATACAATGGTTGCTCTTATTTGCTTTGGATTATCAGTTATTTCAAACAATGGGCTGGTAGCAATCTGTGAACAGAAATTGTAGTAATAACATTTCTAAATTATATGTGAGTCAACTTGGGAAATAAATGTTCCCATGTTATTAGTTTTCATTTTCAAAGAGTGCTTTGCTAAGCCTTTGGTATCACAACATCCTACAACTAGCCCCACGCTTGCCCCCTCTGCACCCCCGCTCGGGTCTGGAGCATACATGTGCCCTCTGCATTTTATCACCCCACCCCTTTTATTTTGGATATCAACAATGGAAAATTGAAAAGTTATCTATTGTATCAGAATTATAGGGAGGGAGACTCCATAAATTGCAATGAGGCCAGGAACTTTGGAAAATCCTTAGTGTGCTTGGTATTTTCAACAAGGATTCTGAATCCTTTTTCCTGGGACTTGAGGAATCTGTTTTTCCCTCCTGTTTGCACGATTCTCATTTTTCTCCCTTTATCCCTCCACTTCTAAACATACTCCTCGACATCTGATAGTCATTCTCTCCTAAAATTAGTTTTACACACATTTATTATTCCCCAGTGCCCAGTATTTTAACAAAAATGTATTACATTTCATGTCTTGTCCACAAATACATGTGGTATTAAGGCTTCTGAAGATACAGAACTTATCCAGCAGCAGAAGAATAATATTCTGAAATTCTAGTAACACTTTTTTGGTTTATTGAATATTTATCTATTCTTATTATGTAACTTAGAAGATGTGAAGTTTTTCTTTCATAATTATGAGTTAGTGCTTAATCTAGAGTATTTGATTGTACTAATCTTTTATAATCCACTCATAGTTTAAACTCTAGAAGCTTTGTAAAGCAATCTCTTGGTGTTTTTGCCTTTCTTTTCTGCCTAGGGAGTAGTTTGGATAAAAGTATTAAGTTGATGGGAATACTATGGGATCTTGGTAACATATTAGAAGCAGTATATACGTTCATTTTCACCTTTTTTGGTTAGCCTTCTAATTATTGTTCCATGAAGGAGAACTTGAGAACTTTAATGTATTTAATATAAAAAATTCCATCTCAGCCTCTGCAATTCCTTCTCATAATTTAACTGGAAGTCAAGTCCAGTTTCTGCTTCATTACCTGACATACAAGTTCCTGAAATAATGTGGTCATAATCAAGTAAGGGCATTTAGTTCTTCTCTTCTATTTGCTGAGACAGTAACTTGGCTCATCAGGGTCTGTGTAAGGTGACCTGAGACAAAGGGTTGGGATGTCAGCATGTAGAGGCACTGGAGGGTGCCCAGTGGTAATGGCACACCCTCTGGAGGAGTCCATGAGCTGGGAGTCCGAAGTGCAGCGCACATCAACTGTGTGACATCTTGAAGCCTTATCTTTTTCCTCACCTATAAAAAGGAGACAGTAACACATTCCTCAGATGGGTGGTTGCAATCTGATGATAATCAGTCCTTGGCACACGTAATGGTGAAGAGATGTTTGCTCTGTTAGTTGAGTGCTAAGGTAAGAGAAGTGATGTACTGTTCCACAGAATGCTAATATGGCTAGGAACCAATCATCTGGACTCCCTGTGTTCCCTAAATCCATGACTAATAGAGTTTCTTATATATTTCATTCTAGTTTCCAGCCCTTTGCTGGCCTGTATTTTGGTTTGAAACTCTTTCATGTGCAGTCAAATATTAATTAGATGCTTTCAACTCTCTTTTACGTGTTTTCACATTGGATATCCCCACTCCCCTGAAATCTCAATCTCTGCATTAGTGAACATTTTACTCTACCACTCCAAAGCAAATCTCAGCCCTTTGAAGTTCTTCTGATATTTCAAAAGTAGGGTTCTGTTGACCTGACATATAACAAGCACCCCTTGAGTATAACATGTCCATAAATTATTAAGTCTTGTTCTGCTGTCTGAGTTGTTCCTTTTGATTAGTGATACCATAGCCTTTTTTTTTTTTTTTTTTTCAGAGATCCCCATTTAATACTATCACCTTTGACTTCTTTCTTGGTTTCAAAATCTGTAACCAGTTGGCAGGTCTAGAAGATTCTTTGAAACATGGAGTGCATGCATGTCCTGTGCAGCTGCTCACCTGGCCATGCTTTGTAGTGTCCTTCCTACTTTCTTATTCTTTCTTTCTCTTTCATTCCATCTTGTTTTCTGTCCATACTGTCAAAATGCATAGCTTTGATTATGTTTTCTTTCCTGCTCCGAATCCTTCCATGAATTGCCACTGCTCAGCATGTGTAATTTGAAACCTTTAGTTTTGCATTCTGTTCCCTTCCTGAGCCATGAATGCCAGATAGACTTGCCTACTCTGGCTTCCAAATGCAATTCTCCCTTCTATTTTCTCAGTTCTGCTTTAGTTCACACTTGTGACCCTCAGTTGGCACCTTTAGGTATAAGTAGAAATCAGTGCACCAAACTCTTAATGAGTGAAGGGAGAATGGCTGAGCTCTGAGGATAGAAAGAACAGGATTGAGATAGCCAGCCTTTGTAGTGACTTGTTTTATCTTCACCCTAACAGGGAGCTTTAAGCAGTTGAGGAAAGCATATAGATGGTTAAAAGGTCATATTGATGGGTGGGTTGAGAATAGACAGGAGGGCAAGCGTAGAAGCAGGGAGACCAGCTAAAAGCCAGTTACAGTGATGCAGGCCAGGTGTGTTGGTGGCGTGAGATAAAGTACTGGCAATGTTAGGGGGAAAAGGATGTCCTGAGCTAATTCCATACAGGCTTTGTGGACTCCACCCCCAGTCCAGACCAAAGCCATCAGGACATTGGAAAGACAAATCCCATCACCACCAAAGGGAAGGTTGCTGGAACCTGAGGGTGGAGTTAAGCAGGCAGGTTTGGTATAAAACCAGACATGTGGGTCTTGGGGGGGCTTTTTGGCTTCACGGCTCTTGGCTCGCGGCCAGCTCTCAGAGTGCCATTGGGTTTCCAGGTCGGTAGAACAGATAGGACACATTTAAGACTTTATTTCCCTATTTTCTCCCTGAGTTGTACATTTCTTCATTTCCCCTTCCCTTGTAAATAAACTTTTTATTAATCTTTTGTGTGTGCCTGCAGTGGAGTATTAATAAGTCCCTTTTAAGCGTGCGGGTGAGAACCCACAGCCAGGCAACCCCTTTTATATCGGGGCTGCCCTGTAACAGCAATATGGAGGGAGATGGACAAACATGAGACTTATTTTGGAAATAGAATAGGTAAGAGATAGTAGGTGAGGGAAATGGAAGCATCAAGGACCACGTCTGGGTCTCTAATTGTTAGTAGCTGGAGACTAGTGGAGCCATTGACACAGCAGCCTGTAGGAGAGCAGTTTATTATGGAATCGCTGGCAGCATTGCCTGTCACGTAGGGAGCAAAAATAATGTTCACTCTTACTATTTTCGTATATTTATATGTCTGAGTACATTTTAAGCTCTCTGAAGACTAAAGGCCATGTTTTAACTACTCTTTTTCCTAAAGCATATATTATAGTGCCTTAGTCATTTAGCCATGAGAGATGGTGAATAAATATTTAATTGATTAATAGAAATCGTGCCATACGAGTGTTTGTATCATCTTCCTGTTGTGATTATTTGAAGTAAGCAATTAAAGAAATTGGAAAAATTTCCATTTCTACAGGTCATAAATAAGATATGAGGTGTTTTTTTTTTTTTTTAAAGTCCCTTCATGTTCATTATTAGTTAAAATGACTCACTGAAGACTTGGGATTATGCTGATGTGGCATCTCAGGCTGGCTCATCATCTCCTGGGGCCTCTTCTCTCCACAGATGTGCACTGGCAACTATACCTTTGTTCCTTACATGGTAACTCCACATAACAAGGTCTATTGCTGTGATAGCAGCTTCATGAAGGGGTTGACAGAGCTCATGCAACCAAACTTTGAGCTGCTTCTTGGACCCATCTGCTTACCTCTTGTGGATCGTTTCATTCAGCTTTTAAAGGTGGCACAAGCAAGTTCCAGGTAAAGTTTGACAGTCATGCCATTTGATGATGATGATGAATTGTTATTCTACTTCACTTGCTTCTACATCTTGTCAGTTGTTTCTTAGACTACACGGCAAAGAGCCAGGGGAAAATGTGTCCTGTCCTGAGTGGATAAAATAGAAGCCACATAGTCCAGATGTTATTCATTTTATCCATAGGAGAATAACTTGAAATCAGCAAAACAAACACAAAAACAAACACAGACTGCTAATTGTAGTCTAGTAATGATAGGGCTAAAAATAGATTCAAAATAAGTACAGAAACAGAATTGGAATAAATGTTCAGGGACTTTTAGTATACAGGCAAGAATTCTGCAAAAATTGCTGGAAACGTTATTATACCTCAGTTAAGAGCAGTCATTTATGTTAATAAATGATAATGTTGAGTAAGTAAAGATTATATTATGTTCAAATCCTAGGCATACCTACTTTATTTAAAATAATCTCTACTTACAGCAATAAAATGAAATAGAAAGTTTTGGCATTTTAAGTGGTACATTGGCGTTTCTGGGAAAATTCATTAACATGGGGTATGTTTATTTTAATTGTTTCTGAAGCAAGGCAAAGTGTTAAATATAGGACTTACAAATTTCTTAATGCCAGATATTTGAGGTGTTCATTCAATGCATCTTAATTGAATTGAATGCTGCTGATGCTTAATGCTACTGATGCTTAATTGAATGGAATGCTACTGATGTTGCAAATGTCATTCATTTCCTTATAAAATCGTTGCTTTTAATTGAAATCCTTTCTACCATTAACTCTTTGAAATGTGTATTTTCCTACCAGCCAGTATTTTCGGGAATCTATACTCAATGATATCAGGAAAGCTCGTAATTTATACACTGGTAAAGAACTGGCAGCTGAATTGGCAAGAATTCGGCAGCGAGTAGATAATATTGAAGTCTTGACAGCCGATATTGTCATAAACCTGTTACTTTCCTACAGAGATATTCAGGTGAGAAGATGCTTAAATAAAATCTTTGTCATGTACCATGTTGTAGAATAAGGGAGTGTTAATATCAATTTCAGTTAGCTAATGAGCCATCTGTGTTACTACACACAGTGTTTTATTGACTGTCCTGTTTTCCATTCTGAGATTTTCATAAAAAGACTCATATGATTTAATCATCGGTGATTGTGAAAGATTTGTATGGTAATGTTCTGAGTCTTTTCTCCAAAAGAACAAGAAAAATATATACACATAGCTAACCCATGGATAGTTTGCTCTATTCTGTTAGCCTAAGGCACACCTATCAGTCAATGAGAGGAAGCTTTGTTCTGGCATATACTTGAAATTCTTAGAGCTTTTGGGACATATGTCTTATCCTTGAAATTGATAGTGCTAGATCTGGCCAGCCAGAAGCAAAAAATGAGTTGATTCATAGTAAGGATAAAATATATAATGTAAGACGCACTAACATACCATATTATTTTATTGATGTATCTTAAAATTTTTAAATGTGATAAAGAAGAATGACCTCGTCTCTGAATTGGGGATTTGCTATTAGATTTTTTTTTTTAATGTTTGTTTGTTTGTTTTAAAGATTTATTTATTTATTTATTTATACAAGCACTGGGTACAGTCAGAAGCGCGGGAGGGTGAGAGAATTCACCAGAGCCAGAGTAGGGAGCAGAACAGGCAGAAGGACTGAAGTACACTGCTGAGGGGAGCAGCGGGAGGCAGGAGAGGTCTCTGCGCGCCATGCGGGACCCTCCTCCGGTGGCCGGGGAGCAACCGGGGATCAAACTGGCGCTGCAGAGGCTTCGGGCAGCCTCGCAACCCAGCGCTCAACCGCTGCGCCACCGGGGAGGCCCTGCTATTAGATTTTTACATAAAATTTAAATGATACCTGGTTTCTTATTTCCATACCCAGCCATTTAGGTCCATGTCAACCTTCATGTGGACAACAGAGATTGATGTATGTAGAGAGGTGTGGTACTTAGGATCCCAGGGCTAGAGTAGCTTTTACTGTTGTTGAAGTGAAATAGTTGTGTTACTTAGAAATTCAATCAATTGCTTCATGTCCTTGAAAATTTTGGAAATCATTTTCCTGAAAGCAATTCATAGGACACTTCATACCAGAATCTGACTTCATGAAGAACTAAACCACCCATATTTGCACACTAGAGCATTATCATATTAGATGGATTTTTGTTTTTTGGCCAGATGTGGTGATTATATTGCTAATGTTGTTAATCTATATAAACTATATAACCAAAAAACACAAAATGAAAGAAGAAAAGTTTCTTCCTGCCTCTAGGTTGTCCAGAGTGTTTCATGAATACCAGTTTTCTTTTTAATGCCCTTCTTATGTTCAGTTAACTGGTAGTTAAAGGCATTTTACTATCAGAACTTTCTCCTAATGGTTTAATTCTGTCTTATTTGCTGATTCTTTAAAAGGACTATGATTCTATTGTGAAGCTGGTAGAGACTTTAGAAAAGTTGCCAACCTTTGACTTGGCCTCCCATCATCATGTGAAGTTCCATTATGCATTTGCACTGAATCGGTAAGAAATTCACTTCTATGATGCCCTAACACATTAGTGTTTAACCTCAGATTCTTTCTAGAATATGTTTTTGCTGTAGCATGCAACCACTGTATTAGAATATAATCTAAACCTATCTACAGTAAACATAAAATAAAAAACTTGCATTATGATTTTTTTGTCAGTAAAAAAGGCTGTCACTGTGTTACTCAAATTCTTCTTTGTCAGAGTCAGTATTTGCTATTTATACACTTTAGAATTTCTTAAATTATATGAATGTGATATTATCTTTAGGCAAATACACTCAACACCAGGTGACTGTTCACACAAAAATGAACTAAAGTATAGTAAGGGCGATTATGTCTCCACGAACATATTCCTAACCAGAGCATATTTTCCCCAAATCTGCAGTGGGTACAGTTATAATCAAAACTCTGTTGGCCACATTTCGTATCACATGTCCATGAATCTGCTAGGGTGGGGACTTAACACCTGTAGCCCTGCCCTAGGCCTCTATCCACATTGCACACGAGTCAGTGCCACTTTCTGCCCAGTGTCACCACAGGGTCACCTGTGCTGTTTACATGGAGGCCCCTAAAGCACTGGACTATCCAGGGCTTAGTTGTGTTGCTATTCTCTTCCAGGGTGGAGAATTACTATAAATGTAATTATCATGACTGAAGCGAATGATAGAAAGAAAAAGGGAGGGGTCATCTCATCTATTGAGCAGTTGCCATGTGTTGCTTAAAGCTTGATTATCCTTATTTTATAGATGAGGAAGCAGAAACTTGGAAAGGTTTATTATATTATTTCTGTAACTGTCTTGAAACACCAATACTTTTTCTCCCTACCTTAGGAGAAATCTCCCTGGAGATAGAGCAAAAGCTCTTGATATTATGATTCCTCTGGTGGCAAGCGAAGGGCAAGTTGCTTCAGATATGTACTGTTTAGTTGGTCGAATCTACAAAGATATGTTTTTGGACTCTAATTTTATGGACACTGAAAGCAGAGACCATGGAGCTTCTTGGTAAGTATATTGGCTATAAATTAGATTCTTAGTTTGATAAATCCATGACATAAAAAATGGCTTGCAAATTAATATTAAATTATTGTTATTATCCTTTAAAGAGTGTATTGTGAACTAAACAAAATCTAAGGTTTTGTAGCATTAGTAAATAATTTTGATAAGTCATTTAATATAGCAGACTAAATTGAAGGAAAAGTAAATAAGAAAATATTTTTAAATGTGTATGTATAATATAGTAACAAAAATAATTTTGTTAAAAATTTATGAATGTTTATAGAAACACATTAAAGAAGACCTTAATGAATGGAAAAATATACCAAACTTAATTATTTTCACCAAGACTTTGATATAATTTGAAAAAATGATTCTGTACTTTATTTGAAAAAATAAAAGGTCAAGAATAGGCAAAATCATTTTGGATAATGCGGGGTAGGGAGGCCTTACTCTACCAGATAACAAAATGTATTAATTAAGATATTGCAATATGAATGGAGCATAGACAAACACTGAAACAGAAAAGCCAGGAACATACTAAGATACAATACGAGATTACATTTATGATGCAGTAAACTTCATGGACCAAGAAGGACTTCTTTGTAAATGTACTAAGAAAATTTATTTATCTGATTATAAAAACAATAGGAAATTAGATTTCTACTTGAAGATATGCACACACACACACAAATGAAAAGCAATGAATTAAAGACCAATATACGAAAAATACACTTAAGGAAAAATACTTTAGAATAAGATACACCTAAGTACTTATTACTTTGGTATAGGAAAGAATATCTTAAACAAGTTTTTCAATACTATAATTAATGAAAGGAAGAGACAGGGAAACTGGAGTGTATTAAAATTGGCTTCTGCACACCTGGTCCCGGTGTTTGGAAATGGCAGAGCAGGTTTTGCTGCACTGACTCTGCTACTGACACCAATGATGAATGTTTGAAAAACACTTTTTAAACAAAAGTTTGAAAGCACCAAAGAGTGACTCAAAGTAGTCACTTTGATATTTGATCCTTGGATGAACGATCAATCTCACATGGGTGAGATTCACGTTTAAATGGTTTTTCCTTTGAGGTGTTCTCTGATCTGGAGGGTTACAGGGCAGGTATATCTCAAGAGAAAAATCAGTCTTAGTGACTTGAGAAGTCAGTTTGCAGCTGCCAGAGTGCCTGGAAATTGGGTGGGATGTGCAGTAAATGAGGGAGCCACAGAGGGAAAGCCCCAAACTGTTCTTTGCTGACCCCTGGAGTTTGCATGTGTGGGGTAAAACTCAAAGGAGTCCAGGCAGAAAATAGTAACTAGATGGCAAAAATAACTGAACAGAGACTTTGGCAGCTGCCCAGTGCAGTGGAGATAGACTTTGGAGCCTTACCAAGTTAGAGGAGTTTGATAAACAGTTAACACTTTCCTCTGAGGCTTCAGAAGGGCCAAGGCTTAGAAATTTTAAAAAATGCATCCCAGGGCCGAGAAAGTGCACTGAAATTAATAGCAAAGCCAAAGCAGAGCCATGCTATTAAAACCTAAAGCCAAGCCACCACATAAATCATTTTATTTACCTGTTATAACAAAAGTCAGTAACTGAAGAGAATAACAGAATCTAAACTCTCTATTAATGCATCATGACAATGCCTAGTGCACCATCAAAGACTACTAGATTTGTGAAAAAATAAGAGTGATCCATAATTAAGAAAAATATTAGTCAATAGAAATAGACCCACAGAAAACACAGTTTTGGAATTATTAGATATGGAAATTAAAATAGCAAAGATAAAATGTTTAGATACTACTGGAAAAGATGGTATAATGAATGAAAATATGGAGAATTATAGAAGATATGTAGAAACTGGAAAAGAACCTAAAAATGAAAAATACAAAACCTAACGTAAAAATTTTATGAGATGGGATTAACAGTAAGTAGGATACAAGATCTATAAACTTGAAAACAGATTAGAAATCATTCAGATAAAAGTAGAGGGAAAAATATTGAGAATGAAATTAATAGTCTCAGTCATTCATGGAATTGCATTGACTGCTTTAAAACACACTACTAATTGGAGTGATAGATGGAGAGAGGAGACATGATGTAGCAGGAAAACTATTGGAGTAATTTATGGTCAAATATTATCCAAATCTGTTAAACAAATGAACAGACAAAAACACATATCTAGGAAGTGCAGCAAAACCCAAGTGGGATAAATAGAAAAGGAAAACCATCCTTCAGCAACTCATAGTTAAATTGCTGAAAAACAGGCCTCCATAGTGGCGCAAGGGGTTAAGACGCAACCTATGGAGTTCTCCACAGCCACTGCAGCATGAGTTCAATCCCTGCCAGGGAGCTACCCACATGGCGCAACAGACCTCTCCTGACTCGCCCACTGCTCCCCTCAGTAGTGTTTTCAGTCAGTCTGCCTGTTCTGTTTCCCACTCTGTCTCTGGTGAATCCTCTCACCCCCCACACCTCTGGCCTGTATCCCAGTTCCTGTATGTATGAATAAATAAATCTTTGAAAACAAATTGCTGAAAAACAACATATAAAACATGTCATAAGCACAGCCAGGGAAGAAGATACATTGTATGCAAGGGAAAGAGTGGGCGCTGACTCCTCATTAGAAGGTAGCCCAAGGGCCTCCCTGTTGGCGCAGTGGTTGAGCACTGGGTTGCGAAGCTGCCCACAGCCTCTGCAGCACCGGTTCGATCCCCGGCTGCTCCCCGGCCACTGGAGGAGGGTCCCACATGGCGCGCAGACCTCTCCTGCCGCCCGCTGCTCACCTCAGCAGTGTACTTCGGTCCTTCTGCCTGCTCTGCTCCCCGCTCTGGCTCTGGTGAATTCTCTCACCCTCCTGCGCTTCTGACTGTACCCAGTGCTTGTATAAATAAATAAATAAATCTTTAAAATAAAAAAAAAAGAAGATAGCCCAAGGCAGTGGCATAGCATCTTGGAAGTGCCTAAGAATAACAGTCATCCAAGAATCCTATATCCTCTCAGGATGTCTTTAAAAAATGAGTACAAAATACAATTCTAGATAACACATTCTAAATAATGTGTTACCAGCAGACCAGGAGTAATGAGCCTTAGGCTAGAAGTTATGAATGCAATGCACATAAACAATATAGGAATTATATTCAGTATACAGAAATAACTTTAAAATCTTTTTTTTTTTTTAAAGATTTATATATTATGCACGAAAGAACAGGGTTGTAGGCCAGAGGTTGGGAGGCAGGGGGCGGTAAGAGGATTCACCAGAGACAGAGTGGAGAATACAACAGGCAAATTTATTGAAATACATTGCTAAAGGGAGTAGTGAGCTAGACAGGAGAGATCTGCTTCGCCATATGTGGGTTAGCCCCCTAGCTGGGAATCGAACTCCAACTCAGGTCACAGCAGTCATAGGTGATAGCATGAGGCACTGAGACTTAACCCTTACACCACCAGGGAGGTCTTAGCTTAAAAATCTTAAGAAAAAAATAAAAATGGGCATAGAACAGGTTATTCACAAAAGCATGAAAAGCATAAATGGCCAATAAATGTAGTCTAAAAATATACCCAAAAAAGATGCTTTACCTCCAAACTAAAGTAATGATATACCATTTTACACATTGACATGAACAAAATTTTATAAATCTGACAATATGTTAGAAAAATAGGAATCCTAATGATCTGCTGGCTTTGGTGGGCATTTTAATGACCAAATAAAGATAGTGGCTTTCTGAGTTCAGTATGCTGCTCACCAATGGGAAGAAAGGAGTAGAAATGGACCATGGAATGATTCACATGAAGCTGCAAGAATTTTTAAAGGATTTTATTTCTTAAGCTGAACGGTGGGTGTGTGGGGGTGTTGCTTATATTATTCTTTTGTACTTCTTAGTATTCCCAAAACATTCCTAAAAATATTTGCTGATAAAATGTGTTAAAGAAGATTAGCTGAGTTCAGGAGTTCCTGCATGGTAGCCTTAACATTTTTTTTTTAATTTTTTATATTTTTTTAAGATTTATTTATTTATTTATACAAGCACTGGGTACAGTCAGAAGTGCGGGAGGGTGAGAGAATTCACCAGAGCCAGAGCGGGGAACAGAACAGGCAGATTGACCAAAATACACTGCTGAGGGGAGCAGCGGGCGGCAGAAGAGGTCTGTGCACCATGTGGAACCCTCGCCCAGCAGCCAGGGATGGAACCGGCACTGCAGAGGCTGCGGGCAGCTTCGCAGCCCAGTGCTCAACCGCTGCACCACCAGGGAAGGCCCGTAACATTTTTTTCAAATTGTGAAATAAGTCCTTTATTTTCCAAAATCTTTTATCTTTAACTGAAAACAAGTGTCAGTGAGGGTGTGGAGCAAAAGGATGAGTGATTTTCCTTTTGGTGGTGCATAAATCTGTGCAACCTCTATGGTAAACAGCATGGACATTCCTTGAAAAAACTATGGCATTGTCGTATGATTCAGCAATATCACTTCTGTATATTTATCCAAATAATATGAAAATATTAATATGAAAAGATTATGCACCCTATGATTATAGAAGCATTATTAACAATAGCCAAGACATGGAATCAACTTAAATACCCATTGATAGATGATTGGATAAGAAAATTGTAGTATATTCCCCAATAAAATACTACTTAACAATTGAAAAAGATGAAATAATGTCTTTTGAGACAACTTGGATGGATCTTTTTTTTTTTTTAATAATAAATTTTATTTTTATATTCCCCCATACAACTGCACATGCCCCATTCTGACCCCAATCCCTCCCCTCCCGGCCCCCACCCCCCAAAAAGTGTCTCTGGTTCATAGTTTTTTGTTGATTTTGATTTTCACTTTCTTATAGTTATTCATTTTCCTGATCCCTTATTTAAGTTTTCTAGATTCCTGCTATGAGTGAGACCATCCGGTATTTTTCTTTTTCTTTTTGGCTTATTTCGCTGAGCATGATCCCTTCCAGCGCCATCCATGTTGCTGCAAATTGCATGTGTTTATCTTTTTTGAATGCTGA